GCTAAATATTTAGCTGGAAAATTAAATATTTAGCTAGCTACCTAAATATTTAACTTAAATATTTAATTAGCTACCTAAATATTTAACTTAAATATTTAGCTAGCTACCTAAATATTTAGGTTGAATCTTAAATATTTAGCTAGTGTAATGGACTAATTATCTATCTGTGTCACATGTTCAATGTTAATCTGTTCGTCCAGACAACAGGACTCTGCAACGGACTGACTTCTCTTGTTTGATAAGAAACTCTTTGAGCTGGGAGCCCTGTGATAGGCTGGAGAGTACATGGGGCGATCTGTGATTGGTTATAAGCACGTCATGTGATGTTATCATGGTGTATATTATTGGCTGTGTCCGCTGACGTGTCAGCAACGAGCCAACGAAACTTCCTGATTGAGTCCTGTTTGTTTGTTGCTCAGAATTAAATCATTTATTACGACCATACACGCAGACTTTTCTGGCATTATTCATTCATTATTCAAGTTGAATATTTAACTTAAATATTTAGCTAGCTACCTAAATATTTAGCTAGCTACCTAAATAGCTACCCATGGGTTAAGAATCTCTGATTTAAATAATCATTTCATGTTCCAGCGAGTGCTGTTGTCATGAATTATGTAAAACTGTCCAACCCAGCCATCAAACTCAGTGGGCGGGACTTAGGCTGATCCTGTGAAATCCACTGCTTTGGTCTGTTTGTGTTGTGTTCAAACATGGCGGCTCCGTTTCTCCAGGCTTTCTATGCTATAGTCAGCTGTAGGTGGGTCCACCCCCCACCCTGTGTGGGGTTTATGATAATCACTGATCTTACATGGTGTTTAATATTACTTGAGCTTTGTTTAATGTGCTGTTTTGTATTAACTCAGGTTTACGCTCCGCTTTTTGCAATAAATCAGTTCTAAAAGCAACATTTTCTCATCTTCCTGTTTGTTTTTGTGCTTTTTGTCCACCAGGTGCAGAGAAGGATACCAAGGAATTCGATGTGACCAGTTTCTGCCCAAGACAGACTCCATCCTCTCAGACCCAAGTAAGAATTTGCTTTTTGGTGTTCCTGAGTCTAAATCAATCAAAGAAAATCAACCAAAATGTTCACAGCCAAACACAATATACGTATATATTTTAAATGCTAAAATCAGGAAGTCCTCAGTTCTGCTGTGTTAAAGCAGGTTGACAGTTATTACAGCAGCACTTAGTCTCATGGTATAAATAGAAATGTGCTCCGTTTGAAATCAAACTGCATTCAGTCAAATGTTTTCCTGTAGGCCTGAACATATAACAGTTCTTCAGATGTGCTGTTAGTCATCCAGCAGCAAACAAGCCATGAATTGATTTCTTCTCTCAGCACCACTCATCTGGATATTCAATCTGACTCCAAACCTAATGGTCCTCTGTGTAATATGCATCTATATAAGCAAGGGTATTTAAGAGAGTTTTATGAAAAACTATCAGACTGCAGGTTCTGCAGGGTTTGGTTTTAGAGTACCGACCTTCAGTTTGCAGTACGAACCTGCACTTCTGCACATCCTGAAAAGCAGAGCTGCACAGCCTGATAAATATTCCTATAAAACATGTTTTTATGTTTTAGAAACAGCCAATTGATTTTCAATAAGACACTCTCCATATGTAAACCCATTTTTATTCTTGTTTTAGTTTTTCCATCTATTCTTCCTGATGGCAGGAATGTCACTTTCTCATTTCTTTGTTGCCTAAAAACTTCATTAACACATCCCCGAAGTAAATAATGAAGCAACTCCCATCCTTACAACTCTCTGTCTTCACCAGAATCACTTTCTTAATCCGCCTGACTTATTAAAATAATCTTTTTTCATTGAGTTTATCTGGGATTTTAACATCATTTAAATGAGTCAAACGTTTTGTGTTTGTTCAACGTCAGAAAGGTACAGCAGGTAAAGTAAGTATTGAACACGTCACCATTTTTCTCAGTAAATATATTACTAGAGGTGCTAATGACATGAAATTTTCACCAGATGTTGGT